TCAACATCCAATCGAGTGGACATTTTTGACATGCCCCATTTGAGAATATAATTCCAAATTACAATTTCTTCCATTTCTTATGCAATCATACAACGTATCAGGTTTGTGGCACAGCAAATTTCATTTTCAAAATTAAAAATGTATATAGTCCGGAGAAAGGTTCTGAACAATTTACCGCCTTTGCCGATTATTTCCAAAATGGAAAAAAAATATATCTTTGTCGAATTATCCTTTTTTGATATTTTTGGTTGTGTAGCTGCGGCATAGACAAAAGAAGATCAAATAAGTACACGTAAAGAGGTTTCATCATTTCCATAAAATTGTATATCGATATCTTTTCAGAGCAAAGAAAATTCTTTTAGACAGTTCTAATTTAAAATATCTATATCTTTATTTGAAGGAATTCCATTATTAATTTTATTATTCAATATCAATCTAAAGAAATCACCCCATTTATGTATCTTGAACTCTTGGTTAATTGGTTTAATTAAAAAAGATTCTGGAATTTATTAATGTGCCGGTTTTTGGAATTTGGAACATTCATCTTGGAATAATCCTCATGTCATGCATGTTCATTAATTCAATTGTAACGCGATACACGATATTTTATTTGATCATGGATATGACGATAATTTTTTAAATTATAGTCAGAAAAAAAAAATATAATCTAAAATTTTTCTTAAAATAGATTTCATATTCAAATGAATTATTTCATAAGAACATTATATTAAGAAGGTAAAATATTATTTATTGTACTAATAAGATTTTGCCAAGTTATATATATGAGATTCCAAAAATAACTCCATTCAAAGCTAATAAACCAAAACAGAATTTTATAATTTTCTTCCTGTACTTCACTTAATCCGTAAATATTCATCATATCAATATCTACTGTAAATTTTCCCTTACGTTTACATGACATTATAAAAACATATATCAATTTTTTTTGAAGTTATCAATCAATTCCTTATTTAAAATCTTCTAAAAGCAACTAATTCTCAATTTGGCAATCGAAAATAAGTGTCTTGTACAACATAAATGACCGAACAGGGGAATTTCCGATTTTATACTGATTTGTGACAGCATAGCCTAAAATAAGATCATTTCATAGCATTAATGATTAACAAGAAAGTGCAATAAAATTTCGGTTATTTCAACTTCATTGAATATAGTCGATAAGGTGCTATAGATAACGTCCGACCAATCGCGAATTATTTAAAAAATCACGCAAAAAATTTCTCAAATAAGAAGCTATCTAAGTTTTTCATTGTTTTTTATTATTGGTAAACTTTGAATCAACACTTGCATTATGAAAACTTTATGGTCTGATTGTAATACATAAGAATATGTTACACATGTATCAAAAGTAGCAAAATAACAATCAATGTGCCATGTTGACGAAGCAACAAGATTTTTTTCGTTATATATGTAACATTGCCTTTCGCGGGGAAACTTCCGAATTTGTCGTATATAAGTTAAATAATGCTTCATTGTGTTTGTCAAAAAAAAAAATAACCCTCTTTTCTCCCCAAAGTAAATACCATGGAGGGAAAATTAAACCTTTTATCAGATTTATCAAATGATTTTGGACGACTTCTTTCTAGCGGTGATAATTATGATGTAATTATTAAAGCTGGAGAAGGTCAAAATATGAAAAAATTCTTTGCACATTCATTAATTTTAGGAGAAAGGTCGATGCACTTTAAGTCCACATTGTCAAAGGAACGGACGAAAAAAGATGATGAAGTTATCATTTTTAAAATACCGAACATTTCTCCTGATACCTTTGAATTATTATTAAAATACCTCTATACTGGAATGGTAGACTTGGATGATCAAAACGGTGTACAAGTGTTGAAACTTTATAGAGCAGCTGATGAGTTGAATCTTCGAGAGTTAAATGATTATATTCGACCTTACTTGATCAGTAACCAAGCTAAATATTTAAGACATGAACCCGTTGAAATCCTCCAAATCGTACTTCAATATGAAACCTTTGAAGATTTAAGAAATTATTGTTTAGAAAATATTTGCAAAAGTCCTAAAGTTCTTTTTGAATCTCCAAAATTTACGTTATTAGGAAACGAACTCATCATTCCTCTTTTAATGTGTGACCTCGAAATGGAAGAAATTGTAATTTGGAATTATATTCTCAAATGGGGCATGTCAAAAATGTCCACTCGATTGGATGTTGA